TTCTTCCTCCTCTTTTCGATGAAATAAAAATATAGGTACCTATTATTTCACTATACGTGTAATAAGGACAAATCAGAGGATTTGTCCCAAAATGTTAATGCGTTTGAGTGATTTTTCCATCAGAGAGCCAAACAGAAATAATTATTTGTTTCGCTAGGCAAAAAAGTACAAAATTCAATGCCGCGGATGGCGTTTCATGGCCTAGGCCTAGCTGAGGCTATAGGAAACCAGCCAAGGCATTACATCTTCTTTTCTGCCATGTAAAACATGACATTTTTTCTCCAAATTCTTTTCAATTTCACGCAAAGTTTAAATAATCCATTATTTTTGGTTTAACCAAAGTCATTGTCAATTTTGATTACATTTGATTCTAATTACTTGGAACGTTGCATAGCAACAAACGTTTTCTGCCTAGGCAGTAAAAGTACACCTTCACCCAAAGTGAAACTTTGATTTGAAATAGTTTGGAGAGAGAAATATAGGTTGGGTATATAGAAATATAAAATCAAAATAACACTCATCTTTGGACGTTTCGGAGACGAATATTTTCAACATAAAAAGTGGAGAATAGTTTTCTCGTAAATTGTCTCCAGTTATGACAAATGGCGACGTTGGCAAACTAATGAGTTACAGGATGTTTCCAGCAATCAATCTTGAATTCACCATTCTCATGTTCAGATTTCAGTAGTGACTACTATCTTCCATCTATATGTATATAAACTGAACAGGAAGCAATGCTATTGTCTCCGTTCAGAAGAGTCCAAGCAGATTCCTTGATTTTCCTGTTTTGGTTGTTATCTTTCTCTCCAATTATTTCGATATCATTCCACTCCACTGCCATTTGTTGTCAATTTCCAGTAGGGATATGTTCAGCTATAGTTTCGATGCTGAAAACGGAAGCACATTAGATTCCGAAACGTCCAAAGATAAGTGAGAATTTGATATTTTTCTATATCCCTACCTATATTTCTCTCTCAAAACCAAAGTGTTACTGACAAGCGAATGAATTGTTTTCTTAGGCTCTCTGATAAAACAATTTTTTTATTTTCGTCTTTTTGATTTGGCTGACTATGAAATCGTGTTTTTCAAGTTCTTCATTGTCATTCAAGAATGCGCAGGATAATCAGATCAGAAATTATTTATTTGCAAATGAACCTCGAGACTTATCAAAAATTAACACGATACAAGAAATATTTCGAAGGAAATATCTTTCTGGAAAAAAAACTGGAAGTTTCCAGTTTGACCTCTGAAAAGTTATCACCAGATTTGAACGGCAACATGGTTGTTCGAAACACTTGCAGGTCACTGATGATGATCAAAAATACGTGACTCACAGTCATAGAACATGCTATGCCAGAAATTATGAAAATCGATCTCAGCCTATTCTTTTTATGAGCAAAAAACTTCAACGAGACGATTTTGGATATAGGTAGGTTGGCCTGGATCAACTTGTTCTTATCCCAGGAGTCCACAGCCGAGCCATGTCCCAACCTTTTACCTTTTACAGATATGAAAAATCGGCTGTGGATAAACTCAATATAGGGATTTCAAGATATTTCGAGAAATCTTTGATAGGAATCGAAGTATTTTTTGGGAAATATGAATTTATCTGATATCACACGAAAACTCCACAAACCAGGAAGACTTCTTACAAATCTTTTCTCAAACTTGTTTCCATCGGGTGAGTCACTCGAGCCCCTTTTGAGCTCTCTTGTTGACTCTGAATGAATTGATAATTCTTATTGATTATCTGATCAGAATGAACTCTTGTACAATGAATTCTACAAGGTGTTGGTCTTGATCCATCCTAGAGATTTTGTTTCGCCAATCTACTTCCTCCCAAAAGTAGAACGGCAGTGTATAGGTGATCATTAAATAATTTCGACCGCCTTCTTTTTTCTCAAACAAAAATCTAACCGATTTACTTATCATTTGAAATAAGGGTAATGATAGCGGCAAACTGATGGTTTGGTTTTTAGTGAAACCCGTCAGTAGTTACTGATTAATCCATTATTGTGTACATATCATACATCTACCCGCATGATATTTTATCTATAATCATAATATTCATTACTGGATTTCAGTATCCATTAAAGCGTATACCTATAATCAAAGTTACACATATAGGAGTGAAAAAACGATAAAATATGTTTTCAACATTTTATTCGTTTTCTCCACCATTTTATTGCTGTTCACTCTCTATTCTCCATGATATCAAAGTATGGGGGCAATTAGTGATATAATTATTCGATTCTGTGAAAAATCATCTTAATGCTTTCAATTACAAAACATCATAGATATAGATACATCAGGAACCTCTACGAAGGAAATGTCATCGACACAATACCTGTAAGTAGATAAGCTTCAGGGCTATGAGGACAAAATCCCATGTATGTCCTTATTAAGAAGGTTACATTATGGTCAGAAATTGATATTTCTCGGGAAGATAGACTTAATCAATTTTGATGGTGTCTCTGAGGGGATGTTCCTGAGAGGATTTTACGATGATGGACCTAATAACGATACCTCGACTTGAGGAAGGGCTATAATCTGTACTTCAAATGAAATTGATTTTTTGCGAACAATTGCAGCTATACATATATTCAACAAGAATGACGAAAATAGTAGTCCATTGTAATGCATTTTGTCCTCGTAACCCTCCAGCATTCATGAATATAACAGAAGAGTTAGTCGGACCTGCCACGTATACCGAACAATCGAAAGTGAGGTAATCAAAAATCATATTTTCGGAAAACCATCAGATTTCAGACAAGCTGAACCGAGTACGTATACCAAAGGACTTCATAGAGTTTTCATTCCTTATTACAGTTCTAGTTTCATTGATCCCTATGAAAGTTATTTTATTGAAGCATTTGATACCCAAAATTTCTGAGGAATTCTGATTCACACTCAAGCGAGAGTATATAGGGGTGGTATTAAATATCTTCACCCCGAGTAGTGTAATTCTGTATATCAGAGTTTTTTGGATATGGGTGTTTATTATCATAGATGAATAACATTACCTGTAATATGTAGAGGCACGGCAATGGTAGGATGCTGAATTATAGAATGGGTATACCAATATATCAAGTATAAGATTATACGTCAGCAACTTCATCAATGCCCCAATTTGAAGAGACTTTCAGGTTTCAGAAATGATTCTCCAATAATACCATGTATTGTTGCATTTCCATTTATATCATCCATATCACAATATATCATTCTAGAAATGTGAAACATATATTCCAAGCAGGCAAATTTAGTTTCCATTGTATTGACATCAATATATTATCTCCCCGAATCAAAATGTGTGTGAGTAATATGCATTGCACAGATGATGGAGTAGTGACTATACATATAATATCTCGTTGTGATCCATTTCGAACTGAACATGGAAATGTTTACTACATGGCAAAAAGAACTTGAATAGGTTAACTTTTCATGAAACATTCATGATTCAGGAATTTACACATAATATATTAGGTTTTGCAATGACGATTAGTTCGATATTACATATCTGGTGGAGATTCGTCGATGACATATTACTGTTCCAGATAATTCCATGAATTTGATAAGGATGCATAGAAACATGACGAAATAAATCATGTTTGTTACTGTTCCTCATTATCCAACTCTATACTGACAGGGGATATCAATTCTTAGATCCATATATAATACATCTATATAGTATGAAAAGTGGTTCATGATGCTCATGCGTACACCTTTTCAACTGACAAACCTTACCTAGTTTGTGTTGATGTTATATTCAATACTTTTGTTTGCTTCTCTTCTTGTTTGTTGAAGCCCTCAATTCGATGGATATCAAAGATTGTTATATTCCTATGGAACAGAATCAATGATGTAATTTAGCATCTTAAAATAACTACATACAATGAAGTTTCAGAAATTGAAAACATGCTTTATTGAAATAATTAACTAAGTAAAACAAAAGTTGTATTCCTCTACAACATGCTTCCACTTGGATCATTCGTTGCGTCCTGTCTCTAGATGACCAATTCTGGTGGTATTGAATTCGTGCACCTTGGTCTTGGTTGCGCAGAAGACTGAAACGTCAATGTCATTCGTGGCCAAGTCAATGAGTAGCAAAAAATCTGAAGGGTTTCTTCCATGCAGTAATGAATTTGCGCCTTCGAAGTGCCCAGCTCAAATATCTCGAATGCGGTTACAACTTTTGTATTTTGATAAGAGTATGGTCTTTATGTAATTTTTTTCGCTCAATCGGATACTTCTATTTTTTCACCAAATGTTGTATTCAAAAAATCATGACCCACACTCTATGAAAAAACACCCTCAATATACATTTTGGGCCATCAGTTTAATCATCAAACTATACTTATTTTTCAATGTATTATCACCAGATGTGCCTGCCCTACCATCCCTTGAAGAAAACACTGTATAAATCTCTGTTCTGCTCTATTGGGGAATTTATCTACCATTTGTAACCTAACAATTCAGACGATATCACTTCCACACACTTTGATATTCTACTCCCGACATTTCGTTGTCAAGGGTTTTCGAAGGAATTGTCGAGGTTCTATATGAAGTCTAAGAGGTATTTTAGGCGTTTACGTAATAGTCTCCCGCAAGTCGAGGCGTTTCACCTTTGATCTCTCCCACCTACAAAGGAAACTTGATAAAATGAAGTGAAAAGTGAAGCGTATTCAATTCACTCCTGAACGGATTCTCTGTTGAGGTTTGAATCGGTAGAGTTTGGTATCTTCGGATATTGGATAGAGATTCGAAACGTGTGGAGTTCAGTCTTTTCAATTTCACGCAAAGTCCATTTAATCCATCATTTTTTGTTCACCCAAAGCCATTGTCAATTTTATTTTATCACTTCGGACTGGCTATAGAAATGGTTCCAACTTGATGATTTGCTATCATAAAACCTGTTATTATAATGAGAGATAGAGAAATCCAATAATTCGACTGTTCATTTACCGACATGAAATTAATAACATTTTCTCTTTCTGTTCCAGATCCAAACCGCTAATTACTTCCGAAATATATCGAGTGCGTTGACTATATCAACGATTCCACTGGTCGATCTCAGATTTAGTCTCATACATTGGGAAACTCCTCCGCTTGTGTTTCCATTGTCTGAGTTGATTCCGGATCAGAAAAGCCGGGTACAAACATTGCCGGCGATTGTTTATGTGTTTCGGAGTTAGGGGGGTCGAACTGTTATGATTACATCGTGTTTTGAAGTGTGCAGAGATTGAAGCAAAAATGGAGACTGAGGAGCTTATCAAGCTGGTGGATGGGATTTACAAGGTGAGTTTCATCATTGATGAAGTGCAAATTTCTTGGTTGTGTTTTGTGCTGGTTTCTATTCAATAATTATGAAAGAAGTTTTATATTTCGTGCAAAATACAGCATGAGTGCATATCTGTAAGTGAGTAAAACAAATGACTATCTTTGTCATTCATCTTAAAATTGTCACATACTCTGACCAATCATATGCCGAAGATAACTCGTATTATCACGAAAACAATAGCTGTCTTTCAATTCTGATTGGTCTTTCAGCGTTGGTGTGTTAAACGATGTATCTATGGTTAGCTAAGCAAGGTCTGTCAGTTTGACATGGAATGATTATTGATATGAATTTCAGAATGAGTTGCCTTGGTTATATGGCATGTTCATTTATGATAAATGCTTCTAATGCTTCGTATTTCTCATTTCAAATTTCGATCTAGAGTCATATGAATTAATGAGTAGATTTCGAATCAAATGGCCAAGAAAAACAAGTTTCGATGAAGTTTTACTTTCCATTTGTATCACAGGTACAATCAAGGTTTACGAAATTGTATTTAAATGTTTACTCAATTTATTCGAATACAACAAAGGGGGCTCATTACCATATCTGAAAAGGGAATTTTGTTACGAACAATTCCATACCACACAATGACTATATATGACACTCTAGATTAAAAATTAAATAATGAAAATTTCAGAAATCGATGAGATACGTCGAATAACTCATATTCATTCAATATAATCACACACCGAATTTCATTTGTTTATCTGTGCGAATAAAAAATTTATAGAGGTGAGCCTCTTTTGAATATCATCAATAATCCAAGCCTGTCTCAGGATTTCATGAAGTGTTTACCCATCAATCGAAATAAACTCTGATTTCATGATGATTTCATAGTAGTTTCATAGTAATTTCAAAGTAATTTCATAGTAATTTCATAGCGATTCCATAGTTATTTCATTGTGATTTCTTAGTGATTCCATAATTGATTACATAATCATTTCATGTTGATTCATGCTGATTTTCATGGATTTCACGGTGATTTTTTTTTATCGCTTGGAGCGCACGAAAGGGAATCCCTATAATGTTCAAAGAACATCGTGCGTTCCTAGGGAGGATAGGGACAGGAGGTAGGTATTGGAATTTTTTTTGAACTTTTGGAGATTATATGTTGTTGGGAATACTTCCACAGGCAATGCATTCCAGAGCCTAGCCGTTCTATGGGTGAAGGAGTCTTGATAAAGTGCTGTTCGACATCTTTCGAGGTTGACAACGAAAGGATGTGCTGACTGGGCTTGTCTAGTTCGTCTGATTAGTATTGCTAGTGAAGGGATGATAGCAGAGATTTCCGAAGAACATTTCCCGTGGAAGTATCGATAGATAATATGAGTACCTACCTACATTAAGCCGGTCATAATTTCATCCCTCGGATCCTATGCTCAAATCAGTTTCCCTCATTATGGGCAATATAGATTATTGAGAAGAATAAATATATTGGGATATTGGATACAAACCCGTTTCAGAATCAGAGAAGATCTTCGTTCTCAGCATCAGATAATGTAATAGGAGAAACAATCTGAATTAATTTATTAAGACCGCATGGAAGAAATAATTGAAGATAGAATGTTGATGATGATTATTATTATGCATCTTCTGTTGTTCATCTTATCTTCATGGGCTTCTCCTGATAATCGGAACCGATATCTTCATATAATTGCCGAATATGGTAATTTTTTGCAAACGTTTTTGTTCAGTCTGGCATCAAGAGAGACCAGATGGGAGAAAAAAGTCGAATTTCGAATAATTAGAATGCCAAAATTGATGATTTTATACAGGAATGTGTTTAGAATGAAGTCGAGGAAGACTAAGTCCATAATATAAAATTAAATTCAGAATAATTAACAAACAAAAAATCGTGACTGGAGATACAATCAGCTGATGTTTCGTTTGGTATTCACTTAATGTCCCCCATCTCTGTCAATTTATTACCACAGCGACATTCTAACAATGATGTAGAAATAATTAAAAATAATTGCACCACTCCACAAAACAATCCAGAAGCGTCGGAGGTGAATTAGGGCCACCTAAAAAGCGGTAGCTAGCTGGGGTTTTGGGGTTCGCGTATACGTCTCACGCATATAAAATATCCCAAAATCCGCCATGAAATCCATTATTCAGTTCTTGCATCAGCTAAATGGTCATTCGCTGTTAGCAGAAAATTGCCTTCGTTGGTTAACCAACAATCTTGTCTGCATTAGGATTAGCATGGATCAGGTGACCTCGGATAGTTGCTTTTAGCATCATTTTTTATCATCAGTGTTGATGATGGGCTACAGCATCTGCGATTCCGCTTTCGTTGTCGACATAGAAATGAAAAATGATTATTGGGATGGATCCTTTTCCTTTCATCTTATGATAGTTCTCAGCGACATGAATGATCAGAAAGATGTTCACAGAGTATTTCTCATGCATTTTTTCCGATCAGAAGAATGCAAGCGTATTTTCTTCTTCTCTTCCTGTGAATTCAATATCATTATACTCTGCCAAAGTTTGTCAATTTTCTTTATATTATGTACAGGGTGGCCAACTAAGAATCCAGAGTTCGATACCTCTGTTGTCTTGAGAGATACAAAAAAAAAGTTTTGCATTCAAATTGGAGTGATAACCGAGCTTCACATTTCAAAATTTCTTTGAAATACACAGGGTGTTCCGTAAGGTCACAGCACGTCAAAGCTATGTTTTTTTCATAGGAACACCCTATATTTTATTTCATTTTTGAATTCTCTCTGAAGATCTGATTTCAACGACGTATCATACTGTAACCTACTTTAGACAATTTTTCTTAGATGGTACAAAAAATATGAATGTCAAAAAGTTAGATTAGCAAGGCACAGGCAGCTTTTCGTCTGGCGAGCGATGATCATAGATTCGGACTTTGTTGAGGTACCAGAGGGGCGCCACTTAGTTTGTATCAGAATAAAAAAACCAAGAAAAGATATTTGATATTAAATTCAACTACTTTCCTGAAAGAGAAAATAATTCAAACACTGTGTGAACTCAATGGTGGTTTAATGAGATATTTTGTAAAACCCAGGTTAACATTTACATGGAGAATTAATGACACTCAGTATTTCCAATAGTAAAAAAAATATTCAAAATCAGATTCACAATTACCTATATATGAATTTTATGTGAATTCCCTTTTATAGATCTATATTGGGGCGAACATTTCGTGTAATCATATGCATGGTAAATTTCATGAACTAGTAAATGTAAACTGGTAAGAAATTGGTCAGAAATTGGTAAGAAAATTGGTAAAAATTATGTGACACATCTGGTGCTGATAAATGGTAACTTCATAAAAAAACAGGAAAGAAATCTTCAATAGTAGCTCTTACTCAAACCATGCCCAAAAATACCATGTCCTCAGAACCAGGGCAGGAACAGACAGCAGGAAGTGGCACCTCAGCCACGTGGAAGAAATTCTGCCACTAGCAGACCTTGATGATGCACCTGGTGCTGCAGCGAGGACTGCCTGGACGACTGCAGAGAAGACTGCTGATGTAGACCAGGAGCAGGTGACAGGGCCATGCAACCAGGATGGATTCGGGACTCCTCAGGAAATGTCCTTGAAGAATCGCAGGTCCAATTTGGGTGTCTCAGCACGTGCAGCTCCAGAACTGACAGAAAGTCAGGCAGCAGCAGCCAGACGACGAGGTCGAAATCCCAGGTCCCAACAGCAAAAGTCTCAATCGGACTAGCCGGCGTCGAATCGAACGACGTATCCGAAAATGGACTCCACGAGGTGTAGCCCAAAGTAGCCGACGGGGTATCCGTCGAGGCCCACAAATCTGCGGCAATACCCAATATTTATAGCCACCAGAATACAAAACTATGAAGTAGGGTTTTATCCCTATTAGGTTTGAAACTTACCCCTGAGATCAGGAAAGGCCTCACTACACGAAAAGACTACCAAATAGTGATCGGTCTGCATCTTGAATGATACCAGGATGGGGCCGAAGGAAATGATGAAACGACGCCACCAATCTAGGAAGGGGCAATTCCTGCGCCTTCTAGAATCTTACATCTAGAAATTCTACCCAGAAAAAACTTTGAAATTTCCTGCGCAACTTGAATTTTGAAGACAGCAGGAAACGTTGATCACGTGATGTGCATCCTCAGCCGGGGTTGGTCAGTTCCACAGGCATAGCTACTTACACACTTACAAGACTATCCTGTCTACTTCGAGGCACGAAAATCCATAAAACAACAAACATATGACCACGGAACACCTAGAAACATATTCCGATCGAAGATCCAACGTCATCCTACTCCGCCCGAACCAATGGAACCACCTACACCGCTGATCTCGCAGCCAGCATACTTTTAATGATACTGTCCAGGTATTACTCGTATGACGGTAAGTGACATGACATGACAGCACTGTCACTGTTTTGAGACGTCAGTGTCAAAAATACACTTACATAATATCAATAAATCATTGTTATTGATTAACAAACAATATGAAATCAATAATCCCAAAATTCATCTCAGACCATAATAATTCAAGGTACGTAGCGAAATTTCCAGCCAATTGTTAGGGTATTCTTCAAACCTAAATAATCTACCATCTGAAACTATTTTACATTCACTAACTACTTATTTATTTCCAGGTGAAACCATGAAGTGCCAACACCAGGACATCTTTCCAACCTAAGCCTACTATACTGGTGAAGAATCAAGCAGCTTATTTCTGGTGAGTTTTCTACAACTTGATCAATATTCTATACTAAAGTGTTTTGATATTTTCAGGTGAAGGACCACTTCACACTCTGGACCATTGGAGGAATAATATTGTAAATACTTAAGTGCCATGTACTTTTATACATGAATAAAAACATTATATACAGTGTGAGTGTCTCTCTAGTTGTTAACACCGAAATCTATCATCAAAAACCTGATTCACAATGAACTTTACCTAGGAACTGAAAATTAGAGGAAAAAGGTAAATTTTCAC